GTTTGAAATGTCCACGAGCACCATTATGGATTGCATTTGATTCATGTTTTGAATCATGATTTTGTGGACCAAAACTAAAAGGGCTACAATCCGTGGGTCTCATATTGTGGTTTCTCATCAAAATGTCATTATTCGTCTCAGCAAGTAGTAATACTGATATTAAATCAGAATACTTTTGAAAGTGCTTTTGTCTATATTGCTCTTGTAAAAGCATATATGAAAGATGCATAGTGGACAGAGTTTTTTCCAACATTTCAGCATCAGTGACTTTTTGTCCGCATAACTTTAGTTTTGATGTTATTTGGAACAGTGCAAGGCAGAATTGTAGTCACTTATAGATTTGTAATCCTGGAATCGTAAATTGATCTAGTCATATTGAGCTTTTGGTAAAAGGACCTTTTGTTGATGGCCATACCTTTCTCGGAGATTATCCCATAATTCATTAGGGTCATCTACCAATAAATACTCAGACTTCAAACTTTCGTGAAGATGGTGACGAAGAAAGATAATGGCTTTTGCCTTATTTTGGAGAGTAGCTGAGTTATTCTCAGCAATTGTGTTTTCGAGGGCATTTGCTTTTAAATGTGCCAAAGCGTCAACTTTCCATTCCAATTACTTTTGACCAGATAAATCAAGGACGTCGAACTGTCTTTTGCTAATATTAGCCATGGAGGAACTACATCATAATTAATTTAAAATTAATTAGTTAATGGTTTGTATCGATAATACAATTAGATACACATAATATGTTTATGTAATAAATACTATAATAATACGATTAGCATGTGTGTTTTCCGTACTATATAGTTGTCCCATAATTTCAGAATGCATGTATAGAGTTATCACAATCGTACACCCGTGAGTTGGCTCAAATCAAGTACAGAGAGTAGTAAATATCTTCATGTTATTACTTATTTACAGAGTATTAGCCACATATAGCTATTAAACTATACAAGTACGTATTTATTTTATTATTAGTAGAGCCGTATTATAAGTCCCATTTATTCAAAGTATATACAAGTACGTATTTATATACAAGTACGTAGGCTATTAAACTATTAGAGTATTAGCCGTATTTTATCTTCAAAGTATAAGTCTCATTTTATAACTATGCGACTATAAAGGTATGTGTTGGGCCATGAATAATTGGGCTTGGAGGAGAGCCCAATATGGTAGACAGCTGGGCTTTACGACAACTTGTAAGACCAAAATTACGGAACATCAAAACCCAGTCAAACTAATAAGGTGCAAAGCAGATTAGATCGCATAGGTCTTGTGGTTAAACCCACGTTAGGAGGATATATTTTTTATTTAAATAGGGAAGCAAAGGCAAGAAGTGGAGGATGATTCTTGATAAAAACAACTTATTTATATTCTTGTACTCTCAGGAGGATTCAACAATTCAATATTTTACACTTATAATTGCCAGTTCTTAAATTAATTTCTTGCACGTTCCCTATTCAAATCAGATTGTATTAGTTTGATTATTTTTTGCTCAAATAGTATGTCTTTCTTCGATCCTCTTCAACCTATTTTATATAAAATATAGCTATAATTTTCTGATATGGAGGATCCAATGGTTGGGCAACCACAAAGCATACTTCTTATAGTTTTGAATACTTCTCATCAACTTACACACACACACACACACACACACACACACACACACATATATATATATATATATATATATATATATATATATATAGAGAGAGAGAGAGAGAGAGAGAGAAAAGATCAGGTGAGAAGTCCTCCTTAAGATGAGAAGTGAGAAGTAATCTCAGCCCTTGGATTTGCATCTAATCTTACAACGCAGCAAACTTATAGACTGAATATAGTAACTTATAACCAATAAATCATAACTTATAAAGCTCTCCATCTTAACTACGGAAATGCCACCGCATCAAAAAAAAATTCCAGGTTTCTGGAGTTATTTGGACGCGGTGGCATTTTTGTAATTATTTTCAAGGGGATCTATAAGTTATGATTTATTGGTTAAAAGTTTGTACTTTTAGCTTATAAGTTAGACTTCACAGTTTCTCAGCCTAAGGGCACTTCTCACCTGATCCGCTCCGTATATATATATATATATATATATATATATATATATATATATATATATATATATATATATATATATATATATATATATATATATAAACATGTTTATACTTCTCATCCTTTATTTTTTTCTTCAGATAAGTTGATAAATTCGTGAAAATATATATCTGCTTGGAAGATGATGATTTCCGGAATTTGGAGCAAATTCTGATAACGTGATATAATATGGAAGGAAATAATCAGAAGATCAGGGAAAGAAAGTATAGTATGAACACTTAGTGATAGAGAGATGTTTTAGAGATGTTCTAATGGTGTCTTAATTACAATGGAGAAGACTTCTTATTTATAGGGGAAAAACTAAGCTTATTAGGATTAGAGGATAATTGTGAACCACACAATTATCATCTAAAATCATAATTATGATTTCCTAATTATTTATACAATGGTGATAATAATTCCTAATCAGGACTAGTTGGAAGATGACTAATTCAATACTCCTTCCGTCCCATAAAATAAGTCCCATTTCCCTTTTTGGGCCGTCCCAAAAAATTGTTCTCATTTCCCTTTTTGGAAAGTTTTGTGTGTGTAACATTCATTTACCTTTTTCTTACTCAACCACAATCATACATTTCCACTTTATTCCCACTTTCTTAAACTCCGATCCAAGTCAAAGTGGGACTAATTTTCCGGGACGGAGGGAGTATATTTCAACAAAAAGACCTTTTTAGGAATTAATTACAAATTGTTATAGGATAATCTACCACCACTAGTTTGTGGGTCCTATTTGGTCAATCGGGCGACCCTGAATTGTTTCCATGGCCCACCATGAATTTATAAAGTATCAAACGATCCCAGCTCCCGGTGTGTGCCCCACATGCATTCTACTATTCAAGTAAAAGTACAAATAAACACTTAATACATAATTTTAAGGTTCAATACATAATTTGGTAAAAGTAAATATACTTCGGGCAACATTACATGAAATCGGGCGGTCCCAGTCCAGTCCGGCCAATGATTGATGGTCTAGTCGACGACATAACGGTCCTTGTCCTAGTCCGGTCCCCATTTTTTGAAATATTTTTTCAAAGTGAAGAGTTTCAAAAGAACCGTTGGTTGCCAGCCAATAGGGAAATTAAAAAGAAAAAGAATTAGGGGGGTGTTTGGAGCTGATTCTGCTTCTGCTTCTTTTTTAAAGCAGAAGTAGAATCAGAATCAGTTTTCGGAAGCTGGTCACCCCCAACTTCTAAAAAAAATGATTCTAGGAGTAAATTAGAGCACCAGAATCACTTCTGCACTTTCACCCAAACACTCCAACTTTTGCTTCTGCTCCCCGAAGAAGCAGAAACAGTTTTAAGAATCAGATCCAAACACCGCCTTAGTCAAATTAGCTGTAGTGACCAACTGAAACTGGCCAATTTTGGTCCCAACTTTCCTATACTCGGGATGGGATACCCTATTTGGGTTGTACCAGCTCTAGTTCCGGACCGAGTCCGTACTTTCAGCCTTCTGGCCGGTCCCGGAACCAAGTATAAAAAATTGGGTGAACATGTTTTCAGATTTGAAAATTAAAAACTAGAAAACAAAAACAAAAAATTGGATACCGGAAAACTAAAAAATCAAAACAGAAAATTGGAGAACGAAAAATTGGAAAATAAAGGCCCTAATGTTTTAGGATGTTTTTACTTGGAAAGTTTTAAGTCCTAAACCGGACCAAATAAGACCAGACAAAATCAGACTAGACCAAACTTGAACACCTATCAAATACACAAAGATCAGACACTACCAGACTTGACCAACCCACTTCAGATTAGACCAGAAAATTCGGGTCCAAGTAAAAACATAGGACGCCTAAGCTCATTAACACCATGTGCGTGTTTGGCCGACTCCGGGGGTGGGGCAGTGGGGCACATGCCCATAGCCCATCTCTTATATGGCCCCCATATTTTTAATTGTTAAATATATACCGTGAGAAATGAATCTATCAAAATCACCTCACTCGAATCACCGTTCGGGTGGAATTTTTGGTGAAATTTTATGAGCATATTCTTCATTAAGTGTAGATTATGTCCACTAAATTTCACATTAAAATTCAATCGAGAAGTCAATTAAATAAATTATTAAAAAATATTGCTTTTTTATGCATAGTATATTTTTCGCCACAATATGTTTCAATAATTTATTTAACCGACTTAATGATTAAACTCTTAAATGAAATTTGATGGACATAACCTACACTTCATGAAACACGCTCACAAAATTTTATCAAAAACCTGGAAGCAACTCAATCGAAGGCGGCCGTATAGTGGTTTCTGTCAAAGTGTAAGGTAGTTCTGACATGATCATTCCTCTATATACTACTCCGTATATTACTACAGAGTATTATAATTTATAGATATTTGTTACACCTAGGTTTTGTCCAGCATTGAGAACACAAACTTAGGCCTCTCTTTAGTCTATTTGACATTGAAAATATTGGTTGTCGTAATTTTTACTATATGAAGTACTTTCTTTATGTATTGTAAGGCTCCTATTTTTAATATGTCTCGGGTCTTGAAAATGTCATGACCAGGTCTCAGATAGCGAATTATGTTAGCGGGTTGACAATAACGGTTTGAGTTGGTTTGATTAGTAGAATAAATTGGCGAATTGCAAGGAGATGTTTGATAATTTAGCTGTTCAGTTATAAAAATTAATATAAAACGTCATATTTCAAAACGCTAGCCCAAAACTCTTTTTTTTACGGCGTTTTCATTTTAGCGATTCTGTCCAAAAACGCTAGAACTGAACAACTATTCACCGAACCACGTTTTCATTTATTGAAAACGCTAAAAGGATAAACGAGTATTTTTTTGGCCGAAAACTGTTTTCCAAACACCCATATGTGATGCATGCAATGACGTATAAAAACAGCACATATATACGATAGTACTTGATTACTTGGGAAACAATCGACACAATATGTCGTCGATAAAAAATACTGCGAGTATTTAAAAAGAGCAGGAGAAAATTATGTCTATAAATAGAGTTCACATTCTAGCTTGAAGGACAAAACAGCCACACGGTCCTGAAGAAAATCCAAACCCAGAAGCCAAAGAAGCCATGGCTGGAGCCGAGACACTGCCCAAAGAATACGGCTACGTTGTTATCGTCCTCGTTCTCTACTGTTTTCTTAACACATGGATGTCTTTCCAAGTCGGCAAAGCTCGCAAGAAGTAAACCTCCGATTCATACTCATTTTTCTAGTCCTGTAAACTAGGTTTTCTGAATTGAACTGCTTGATTTATCTAATCATCTTATCCTGTAGGGATGGATTTAATGTTTGATTGAAATTGTTAATCTCGTTGCAGGTACAAAGTTTCCTATCCGGCCATGTATGCTACGGAAGCTGAAAACAAGGATGCAAATCTCTTCAACTGCATTCAGGTTCTCATACCCTCTCTCTCTCAATTTGATTCCGGTTCTCTGATTTTTTAGGCAATTATTGAAAATTTGTGAATTGCAGTAATGCTTTATGTGAAATTGTTGGTTGTGATAACAGAGGGCACATCAGAATTCATTGGAATGGATGCCGGTATTTTTCTTGCTGATGGTATTGGGAGGAATTAGGCACCCTTTGGCCTCTGCTTCCTTAGGAGCCTTTTATATCTTTGCTCGTTACGGCTATTTCAAAGGCTATTCTACCGGCAATCCTGAGAATCGCCTTACAGTTGGGTATGTCTGTTTGTTGATCAACTCTAGAATTGATTGATTTTGGAGTTTTGGATTTGTGATTGAGTTCGTGTGCCGGTTGATAGTGGTGCTCATATTATTATTTAACATGATAACATAAAACAATCTAAATATAAAGAAATGATATGGTTGAGTCAAAGATACAGTTGGATGATATACGAATCACAACTAACGCTTTACTAAAAAAATAACAGGTTAACCCTTTTTTTGTACATCAAGGCACATGCTAGGTAGTCTAGAACTTATCCCATGTGAATGGGAAAACAATTTCTTCTTACCAGAACAGATTAGAATATCAAATGTCATTACCTAAAAGGTAAATTTGCTCTCATCATAGACCTTGCACAAGTGATTAACAATACATAAATTTCATTCCTCAAAAAAACAATATAAACTTCATGTCACCTACCCCAACCTGGGACGGATCCAAGATTTTGAGTCAAGGGGGCGATTTTTTTTTGAATAGTGTAGGGGGTGATATTTTTTCACTAGTGTAGTGGAGCAAAATCAACCGAAAAGTAAAAATTGGATCAAAAACCTAAACTAGAAGGGATAAATTGTTTAAAAAGAAAGTTTTTTCTTGAATTAACAAACATAGAATCTGTGTAGTACTTATGATTGAGAGCAAAGATCATATAACAAATTGAATTCAAAATAGTATATTTATGTTTTTTCTTAATAATTTCAGTTGAGGCATGAGCCGTGGGTGAATAACACTAGGATAGGATATGTTATTATTATTAAGGATGTTCTGCGCGCACCTCAGCGGCTCAGCTAAGGACAGTTTCACCCCTATTTCACCCGTTGGACAATTATGCCCTCCTTGCTATAGTTTTTTCATTCAAATTGTGTCCGTGCTTCCAGTTTCTTCCTAGATGCACAACAACAACATCCAAGCCTTGTTTTCAAAAGACTCTGGGACCGCCACTACTTACTTGAAAATTCAAGAGAGACTTCACCGTTGTCCATAAGTATACATACTATCTTGATATTTCATATCACCCATCAATGCCTATTTAATAACCAGGGAATCATAGAGAATAACACCCATAAACTACATTGAAAGCCCAAATTTACACCATTTACTGTGCTTGTTATCTATAAGAGAATTACTCCCTCCGTCCCTGAATTATCTTTCAAATTTCCTTTTTTGTCCATCCCAATTAAACTTCCACTTTCACTTTTTGGTAAGAATTTGTGGTTCACAACATTTTTTACACATTTCTCTCTCCTCGGTAGAACTTTGTACGACACAATACCCACTATCTTAACCCCTACATTTGTACTATGGGAGTTTTACTTGGGGTGCTCATACACAATGAAAAAGCTTTTAAGCAAGCGATCTTGTTCTTGTGTAACAGTGTGTAACTAAGTCTTCAATTTCCATTGAAGTTGTTTCTACCAAGAAATCATTTGTCCAAAATTGTTAGTGTTTATTCCTTAAAAATTCGTCGAAACAGTAAAAAATCTTAACAAAGGGTATTTTGGTCAAAGAAGATTTTACAAAGTAATTGTTTGGGTGTGGAGTAATAATACCCTTATTATTATTAGCATTATTGTCATACCAAGAAAATCCTAAATCATAAATACTACTGTAATAAGCTGGTTAAGTCTCTTTCAAACCGAAAAAACCCCCAAGTTTTAGGAGAACTGGACCAAAAACTCAGGGTTCGGCCGATGGGGCTCTGTTTGGCCCAGTTTCTGCACTATTCTGATCAATTTCTGACCCTTGCAGGAAATACAATTTCATTGCGCTTCTGGGCCTCATGATCTGCACACTATCTTGTGGAGTGAATCTTCTTACCTCATCATGAGCAGAGGGTGTCGGCTGCTTTAGAAGAATCTATAATTGCGTTTTTTTCCATCGTTTGAGACGATGCTCTAGGCATCCTGTGTCATTTTCCGTTATGTTATTTCATATTTACATGTCTTGCTATTGTAACTTATTAAGTTTTTCCAAATACAAATGTCCCAGCTGCCAACCATACGATCAGCTTTATGCACATAAGCCAAATAAGACATTTATGTATACCTGAAGAAACCACAATGTTTGAAGAGGAAATGTTAAGCACGGTTGGGCCTTAGTAATTATTGCATTTAGTTAGCAATTGTTCTTACTGGACATTTAATGGGCTGGGGCCTTCTTTTAGAATAGGGGTGTACACATACCTTGTATAAATATTGATATCATGAATAAAGTCAAACACATGAAAATTTACCCATATTCATACGAAATTAAACATGGTATCAGAGACCCTAGCGTGCGGCAAACGCTAGCCCTTGTCATCTCCTTTGTCGAAACGAGCAGTAGTAGCACCAGCGTGTAGAGCACTGCCAGTCAGCTATGGGGGATGACGCTACACTGCGATCGGACTCAACCTTTGTATTATTTGAGCTCTTGAGATCAGCCCGACAATCTCATAACCCATGTAATTCTCAATGGTAAAAATTACATTGCGTGGTCGAGAGCTTTTAGCCTATCACTTAAAGCACGCCGGAAGTATGGCTTTATCGACGGCACGATCCGGAAACCTATTGAAGCGGCTAAGATACTTGATTGGGACACGGTTAACTCGATGATAGTCTCTTGGATACTAAGGAGTATGGATTTGAGCGTGGCAGCCTCAATCCCCTTTCAGGACGTAGCACGGACGCTGTGGCAGTACCTAGAAAAGCGCTTCAGCGAGGCGAATGGACCTCGCCTGCAGCAGCTACAGACCTCGATTGCCAATTGTAAACAAACAAAAACGATGACGATTGATGCCTATTTCACTGCCCTCATGGGGTTGTATAACGAATTGAATCGCTTAAAGCCGCTGCATAATTGTACGTGCCGAAATTGTACGTGTAACGTGGCAGCCAAGTATGCAGCCGATAGGGATGAAGAACAACTTCATCAATTTCTAATCGGAATTGATGATGAAGTTTATGCAACAGTCCGATCCAATCTGTTATCTCAGACTCCGTTGCCCGATCTAGCACGCGCGCATCAGGCCTTTCTCCAAGAAGAACGCTCACGAGCAATTGCATGTGGGAAGGGCATCACGAGTGCTGCTGATATCCAGGCTTTTGCACTGCAGGCAGACCGCAACAAAGGAAAACCGGACATGGCAGAAAAAGCTCGCCTTTCTTGTTCACATTGCAAGCAGCGGGGTCATGACTTGAGTGCATGCTTCAAACTGCACGGCTATCCGGAATGGTGGGAAGAGCGTAACCGGAATAAAAATGGGGCAGTGGGTCGTACCCCGACGCCAGGAATGACTCTGACGGCAGCAGGTTCTCTTGACTGGATAATAGATACCGGTGCATCTCATAATGTAACGGGTGAATTGTGTCATCTTACTGATGTTGATAATATTTATAATTGTGCGGTGGGATTGCCTGATGGGCGCACCATCTTTGCCACTATGGAGGGTCGTGTCCATCTTTCCAAAGATCTTGTTCTTAATAATGTGCTTTATGTTCCCAAATTGAATTGTCATCTTATTTCAGTCTCTCAGTTGACTGATCAATCATCATGCACTGTTACTTTCACTAATTCTCTGTGTGCTATACAAGACCTACACTCGAGGAACCTGATTGGAGCCGGTGAGAGAAGGGATGGGTTATTTTTCTTCCGACGTGCCCCTACGTTGCATGTTGTGGAAGTTTTTGGCTTAATAGATTTCGAGTTATGGCATCGCCGGTTGGGCCATCCATCAGACCAGGTCCTTAAATTACTTCCTGCTATTAGTTCTAGTGCTTTTAGAAAATCCCTTAATAAAGCTTGTGTGATATGTCCGCAAGCCAAACAAACTCGCGATTCTTTTCCTACTAGCAATAATAAAGCAAGTCATATTTTGGAATTAATTGATTGTGACTTGTGGGGCCCTTATAATACCTGATGGAGTATATGGGTCTGAGCCCCAGGACCCACATACTCGGAAGAACAGAGCACAAGACAACAGAGTGGCGCCCTCGTCGGCCAAGACGCCCCCGTCGGCCGAAAAGGGGCCAACTCAGATTACGGTCCTGAGTTTAAGGGACTCGGGTGCCCTCATCGGCCGCGCCCTCGTCGGCCGCGCCCTCGTCGGCCGCGCCCTCGTCGGCCGCGCCCTCGTCGGCCGTGCCCTCGTCGGCCACGCCCTCGTCGGCCATGAAGACCTCCCAGAATCGGATTCTATACTTACTCATTTGTACAGCCCATTAGAGGCTTTGTATTCGGCCCAGTAGCGGTCCAGTTGTAAATGGGCCTCCCAAGCCCAAGGCTTGGGAGCCCAACCCTAATTTTCTCTATAAATACTCCCCTTGGGAGTAGTTATAGGGGTTACGAAATCATTCTATTGAAGCATATTATTGCACTTCTCTCTCTAGCTCTCACTTCTCTCTAGATATACTCTATCATTTGGTGCTTTCATTGAGAGCTAGAACAATCAAGTTAGCACCCTTCGTCGCTACCAAGCACAGCTAACCACTGATCATGGGGAGAACTAAGTCAAACCGCAACCTCGTCAGCAAAGTCATCCCTGAGGACCAAGAGCCCAGAGAGCACGATGAGGACGCCACGGCCGACCAGGTCGGCGGAGGGGACCTCTTCCAGGAGGCCTTCAACCTCACGACGGACCTCCGCAACCAACTCAACGGCGGAGTCCCCGACGCCCGCCTCGGCCTGGAAAAGAAACGAGCTGAGAAAGCGGACCACGCCCCGGCCCAGCCTATGGCCGCGGCCTCTCCGTCCGTAGATCCTCAGGTCCAGGCCGCGCTATCGGTCATCATCGCCAGCCTAGCTCAGAACCCCACCGTCCTCAGCGCACTCTTGCCAAGGACCGGGGGAAACGTCACTCCACCTCCTCATCCCCAACCACTGGCCGACCAGATAGGCAACAATGAGGGGGTTGTGGCCCAGGACACGGCGTCGTCCCACTCCCACCCTGCTTCCCCTCTTCGGCCCGGGCAGACCCCAGCGCGTGGAAAAGCCTCTGCCTTCAATAGGCTGGGTGACACGCGCCGTCGTCCGGTTTCGGAGAGGATGGCGGGACGGATTGGTGATCCTCGTCCTGGCTCGCCAAGGGAGAGTCTGGGGTCTGTGTCCCGGACGGCGGACCAGCCCCGCCCGGACAAGGGCAAGGGGAAGTTGCACGAGGATGACGTGCGTCACCAGATCAACGCGGCTCACAACGAGCGCCTGAGGAACCAGCCGGGTGCCGCCGCGGCCGACAGGGACCCCCGGGACGAGGTCATCGCCCAGCTGGAAAGGAGGCTGGCTCAGATGGAGGCCAAGCAGTCGGCCAACATCCCTACGGCCGGCGCCTCCAACGACCCCGGCCTCAACGCGCTCATGAACAAAGTTAGCGCCCTGGAGAGGGAGTTGGCCGAGGGGCGAGGTGACCCCATCATCCAGGTCAGGACCAGGACCCCTTTCACCAACAGGGTCCTCTCGGCCCCCATCCCTGAGAAGTACAGGGGGAACGCCATCAAGTCCTACGATGGCCGATCAGACCCCCAGGAGCACTTCAGCCGTTACCAGAACAACATGCTGATGGTGAACGCGTCCGACGAATACCTCTGTCGTTGGTTCCTCTCTACTCTCGAGGGGCCAGCGTACGAGTGGTTCAACGGGCTGCCAGAAGGAAGCATCGACTCATGGCAGGATCTCGCCCAGCGCTTCCTCACTCACTTTGCCGGGAGGAAGCGCGCGAAGAAGTATTTCACCCACCTCCTCTCCGTCAAACAGCAGCACGAGGAGTCCCTCCGGTCATTCATCGACCGGTGGACGAGGGAGACCGAGGAGGTCGAGGGGGCCGATGAGCGCACCCTCCTCGCCTTGTACCAGGGAGCCCTCCGCAGCTCCCCGTACGCCAGGAGTCTCATCACCGACCCCCCGAGGTCGTACGCCAAGGCGCTCCAACGCGGAGGCTTGTATGCCGACGCCGACGAACTCCACAATCACAAGAGAGAGGGGGGCCATCCCCCCAGGAAGACAAATCCTTCGCCGGCCCCGGGTCCGTCCCCGGCCGGCCAGGGTGCCCAGGGCCGCCACGGCTCTGGTGGACAAAGTAAGAAAGACCGCCACTGGCGGCCGAGGCTGGAACGGCCGGGGGTAACCCTCACCCACCCGGTCGGCACCATCCTCGATTATGCCGAGAAGCACGGCCTCATCGAGCAGGCTCCTCGGCCGGCCGAGGAGATCCTTGCCATCCAACAGGGCGGCACATACTGCCGGTTCCACAAGAACTCGTCGCACAACACCGACGATTGCATCACATTGAAGAAGGCCATCGAGCGCCTTATTCGCCAGGGGGAACTCTCCCAGTTTGTCAAAGGTGGCCCGCGCAAGAACACTTGGGTAAACACCGGCAAACATGGGGGCGAACCCTCTGCGAAGAAGCGGGAGATTGGTAGACTCAGCGACGACGAGGACTTCGAGGAGCTTCCGCCGAAGAAGAATCACATCCACCTCATAGTGGGTGGAAACACTGGGGGGGACTCCGCCACTCAGAGAAAGAAGTGGGCCCAATCCCTTTACATTGGGGAGGTGTCCCACGTTCCCCCCAGCCGAAGAAGCAGCGAACGGAGGCGATCACCTTCACCGACAAGGATCTGCCTCCGGGTACGGAATCACACAGGGACGCCCTCGTCATCCGATGTGAGATCGGGGACTCCATCATCCACCGTACTTACATCGATACGGGGAGCTCCGTCAATGTGATGTACTTGGACACCTTCAAGCAGTTGAAGCTGGACAGAGCTCTGCTGAAGCCGATCAAGACCCCGTTATCCGGCTTCACCGGGGACTCTATCGACGCCGAGGGCACGATAGTCCTCCCCGTGGAAGTCGGTGACGGCACCCACCATGCCAAAATCAACATGGAGTTCATGGTGGTCAACCTCCAGTGCGCCCACAACCTGATCTTGGGCCGGCCAGCGCTGGAGGACTTGGAGGCCATCATCTCCATGAAGCACCTATGCTTGAAGTTCCCCACCAATGACGGCATCGGCTACGCCAGAGGAAATCAGAGGATAGCCAGAGCTTGCTATCTCAAGCTAACGAGGCCGGCCGAAAGGGAAGGACAGCGGATAGACACCATTACGGCCGCCGTCGCCATGGACGAGGAGAGGCCACATGCGGAGCCGGCCGAGGAGATCGAGGAAATCCCCTTGGATACCTCCCGGCCGGAGCGGGTTCTCAGGGTCGGAAAGCAACTCCCCCAAGACCAACGAGATGCCATCCTCCTCGTCCT